AGTAGCAGGGCGTGTTCAAATTCCGTGTAAACAAACGATGTATATTACACGTGTTACACGGAGCGACGACTTGCACTTTACACTCGAAATTTCGCAATTTTATTGGCGTGGAAACGGCTCGACCTGGACGAGGTTTGAAAGCGCCCACGTCGCAATTTCGTCATTACTTCTCTCCTCTTCATCCATTTCTCATCCATAATCTTACTTACTTTCTCCCTGGCTGGTAACACACTGATAGACTGAACGCGTCCGATTACAATGTGACCCTCTATACCAAAGTACCATATTTTCACGTAGACATTAAATAACTGGATGCTTTGATAATAATATTTTTACTGGCATTAAATTTCATTATTTCTTAATTAAATTAAATTACATGGGGTTCGTGTTACCACGGTAATTATGAGTTGCATTGTAAGCAAACATTCTCATGAAATTCTCGTTCGCGAATATATCACGAGTCATATGACGTCATACTATATTTGTATTTACCTTGAGTGATATATTAATGTAAACATTTATACCACTTTGTTAATGATTTAATAAATGATTGATAAAATATAGTTTATTATTTCAACACCTGTTGATATAACTCCGTACGTGACATTCAACACCCACCACTGATAGAGGTACTCGATGCGCTACTCGTGCAAACACCCCTCACATGGAATGGTTTAACCCACAGTACGGAGTCGAGTATGATGCATGTTGTTGTAACCGTAGAGTTGCTACACTCCTGAACACAGTCGGGTAGAACTCCGGGATCACTGCAAAATACCCATACACGACGATTGAGTGGCGCTTCCAATGTTCCTAACGTGGTCTCCTACACCAGCCTCTATTTCTCGATTCATCAAAACACGTCTCGGCAAGATTAAGTATGTATATTTATCTTCAATCAATTCACCATAGCTTGTATTGTAATTAAAATTGTTACCGATTATGGCATATTTACAGTATACTAGTAATTAAGATTGGTAATACATCACTGAGGCATTTATTATTTCCGCTAGCTAGTTTCTTAACTGCCTCACAATTTAACACTTACGCCAATGCCACTTGTCATTCGGTATTCATCTGATTTATCGTTTTGTGGACGCGAATGCCTAAACTACAAGTTACATACGTTATTTGCCTGTATAGTTTTGGGTTAACGATTATAGGTGAAGTGTTAATTAAGTGGTTTTGCACACTTTGTGTATCACGATATTTGTCACAGGATTTTTTTATTGCAAGATCAGCATGAAAGTGTTTCACAGGCACGCAATAATCATCCATTAAATAACAAGTGCTGCGTGATAGATATGTTTCTGTGGGCGGCGTTTTCTCTCAAACTAGGGAAACATAGCTGAATACGCCCTGCTTCTGGGAACTCTGTTAGCGGTGTCTGATCCGATACAGTTTATTCACACTACCCTACCGTGCCCACTTTTATGAGAATGTATCTCACGTTCGAAATATGAAGCCAGACTGTGGGAGTAGCACAGCAACGCACTATGTGGTGTTGGGCCCCATGGTACTCTGATTACACGGCAAAGCATTGTCCATATCACTGAGCACTTGACGCGATGAACTTGTTGTTGAATATCACCATAGTAACAACATCTTTTTGTCCCGGGTTTGGCCATTACATTACCGGAATTCCAATCTATCCCAGGTAGCAATACTGGAGTGTCACCTTTTTTACTCATTGACAAGTCATTTGTAATCTATTGAGAGTCGATCTTCAGTTATTTAGAGGAGTGCTTCGTGGAGTATTTAGTTACTGTGTTGTCTGAATGGTGGTATGCTGAACATCGATTTTCTACTTTTGCTGATGAGACCAAGCCATTAGTTGATTCAACATATAGGCTTTGAAGTGTTGTAGGCTTCTTCCATAAGTTATCTCCATCGTTGTATTATACTAGCCACGTTACCATGGTATATAGGAATTTATCTAACAAGGATCGCTCTCAAATCACGCACTAAGTGTATATTGATACTTGACTGCCGCATCACACCCAGGTGTGCATTGGTACACGTCTTAGCTGCCCCATCACACCGTACACCAGGTGTGTATTGATGCAAAGCTTCGCTGCCCCATCACACCCAGGTGTGCATTGGTACACGTCTTAGCTGCCCCATCACACCGTACCCCAGGTGTGTATTGATGCAAAGCTTCGCTGCCCCATCACACCCAGGTTTGCATTGGTACACGTCTTAGCTGCCCCATCACACCGTACCCCAGGTGTGTATTGATGCAAAGCTTCGCTGCCCCATCACACCCAGGTGTGCACTGATACACGACTTAGCTGCCCCATCACACCCAGGTGTGTATTGATGCAAAGCTTCGCTGCCCCATCACACCCAGGTGTGTATTGATACATGACTTAGCTGCCCCATCACACCCAGGTGTGTATTGATACATGACTTAGCTGCCCCATCACACCCAGGTGTGCATTGATACACGTCTTAGCTGCCCCATCACACCCCAGGTGTGCATTGATACACGTCTTAGCTGCCCCATCACACCCAGGTGTGTATTGATACATGACTTAGCTGCCCCATCACACCCAGGTGTGCATTGATACACGTCTTAGCTGCCCCATCACACCCCAGGTGTGCATTGATACACGTCTTAGCTGCCCCATCACACCGTACCCCAGGCGTGCATTGATACACGTCTTAGCTGCTCCATCACACCCCAGGTGTGTATTGATACACGACTTAGCTGCCCGATCACACCCCAGGTGTATATTGATACACAGCTTCGCTGCCCCATCACACCCCAGGTGTGTATTGATACACAGCTTAGCTGCTCCCTCACACTCCAAGTGTGTATTGATACAAGACCGTCGTCCTGTGTCTATTTTGTGACATCATTAATATTGATTGATTGGAAACGCATTTAGACAGTTTTTATATATTAACTTAAATTAACGGACGCACGTGATTTGTGCACGTGACTATGACAAACTAAAATACGAAAGTTTGAAATACCACTGTAACTCGGTAGCTAAAACTGTTGCTTACAAATTAAGGTCGTCCGCCAAGGTCAACTGGGACGACAGGTCGTCATCGTTCATTGGGCGTGTAGCTACGTGTTCTATATATATAAAGACTGAGTTGATGTTTTCTTAGTATTATCATTATTACAATCACCACACGTATTCAATCAGTGAGCGATATTTACTTCACAAAATATAGAAATTATTCATCACGCATTGTTTTGACCAGGGACAACTATCGATCGCCTTATTGACTTAACTTAAAACCGGTGACTTGAAGTGTTTGCTCGCAGGGATCGGCTATATACGTACTAGAAACACTTAACGATGAACACTAAACAGCGGCAGCACACCAATTAGACAATCAAGTGTTTGAACACGCTACGATCGGCGGCATAACAAAACATTGAGTGAATTGAATCATCGTGATGTTGCGATTTGCGGCGAGGACGTGGATTCCAAGGGTGGGGGTTCTATGAATAAAATATGGTACGCAAGCTGAAAAAAAATAAAAAAAAAAAAACGTAAAAGGGGTTTTACTTAGTTATTTGACGCGTATACGCGTGTACCGGATGTAACTTAGAATATAGTAATAAAGTGTGAAAAAGGAATCTCATGAATTCATGTTACCTCATCTTGGAAACAGTATGATTTTAGTATGCACATACTTGAGTAGGTTATCTATTTTACGTTTCTGCACTTGTAGGGGTATAATTTCACAAAAATAAGTACGTGTTTAGAAGCTTTTTTGAAAAGCTATACTTCAGCATGGGCACTAGTTACCCCCTCCCCTCTCGGGCGTGGATTGTTGGCAGGCTACGCTTACACTCGAGATATATTTGGTGAATCGACCCAAAGAACGCATAGCAGCGGTTCTTTAGAGATAGTTCTACTTGATTACTAACCGAACCCTCCTTTCTACTATCGAGTCGCCCTCACCAATCACCAACCACTCATCTTTGGTCGGATTGCAATCTTCTATACATTTCTATATAGCAACGATGAGGCAATACGTCATCAGCCAATAATTGGAAGTCACTGACATGACCACGTGATTACTAGGTCGCAAAACTCATTAGAAAGCCTGTACAGTCGCTAGTCTCAACATAATTGCAATCTTAACGCGCGCGCACGACGAGCGATGAAAAATCTCTAGTGATACTCAAAATAATAAAAAGACAAACAGATCATCATTAATTTTCTTTGTTTTCTGTGATTTAATCGGATTGTTTTGTTGGAATTACAATATTAATCACATTTCCCGAGCTAAACGTTCTACAGAAAGTGTCGGTATGGCCCTTTTCATTGTACTCAAGAAGGGACCTACTTGTTGTGTTTGGTAACGTTTCCATGGCTATTTATCACATATACGAAGCATTGCCTTGATGAACAATAATTTTATATGATTATATTAAAAAACAAAAACAAAAAAACAACTGTAACAGAGTGTGACTGATTCTGGACTTTTCTCAACCACGCCACCTACAGTAGTAACCAATCGAGGATTGGAGTTTATATGCGCCCAGACATGTAGGTTGATGACATGAAGTGACCACATTACACTGTAGTATCCAGTGTGCCTACGTGCTTCTCACGGTTTACCCTTAAACTATAAATTATATGGTAACAATCATGATGACATACTGCGGGCCAGGACTACTTCTATGGTCGATTCGGATATTGTAACATGGACAACGTAATCCATCTGTTGTTATTAATTCAATAATCACATAGTTGACACATCGAACAGAATGGAAATGTATGAATGATTGAATGATTGAATGAATGAATGAACGAACGAACGAACGAACGAACGAACGAATGAATGAATGAATGAATGAATGAATGAATGAATGAATGAATGAATCTCCACATGATATTCACTGACAGCGCTATAAGGAAAATATATATAAAATATTCCTTTCCACGAAAAACAAGCCTGTGAACTATCTAAAAATTGTTCACCCTTTGTTAATCTAACAGTGTTTTTTTTATCTATCTTTGTTTTTACAGGTAAATAGCTGATAGTTTTCGTTGTGAACAAACATGGAGAAACATACAGAAAATTATCGTAGCATCGACAATACAACTGACGTAGAAAGCGTCTGTATTTGCAAACTGCCAAATCGTGAAGGTGAAAACACATTGAACACAAATGATGTGGAATATTTATATAACGCCGAGGGCGATCAATCTAATAGCATTCCCAAAAGTGCAGAACACTTACAGTGCGCATGCTCTGATAACAGCCTGAAATCTAAGAACTCAAGCGACTTCCATGAAGCTAAAATTAGAATAAATGGGAAATTAGAACAACTACGAAGTGATTTGGTAAGTTTGTCTCTTCCTACCGGCAATGATCATATTACCGAGATGATTTCAGTTTCATACAAATTTATGGAGTATTTACCCCTGAATTCAAAACAGCTACTCTTTTGTGCTGCAGGATGTAGTTTTCAGTTTACGAAGCGCATTGGCATTTGGACTCAGATTGTTTGAAAACTTGTCGAATGACTCGACTTTGAATACGACAATAAGTCTTCGACATAGTTTAACAAGTAGCAAATGAATACATCACCTGAGCAGTACATCTCCGACTAGCACAGTGTCATGAATACAAGATGTAACTAAAAATAGGCCATGGAACTTATCTATCTCTGGTACACGTGACCCATCGTCCAAATCGCATGGTTTGTTGGTGCCGACATAGTGTAGACTCCACCAACCCGTGCGGGATCAGCATGGGTAAACGTATTTTTTTTTATTTTAAACGAATGGCCAAGTTTGATTGGATGCGCCTGTTGGAAAGGCGCCCAATCAGATGCTTTGTAACATTGTGTGGCAAGCTAAAAGAACAAAATTCGGAAATGGCGACGTGTACATGGGTACTACAAAATTCTTCTAGTTACCGTGCGTGTAGAGTGTTTTGCCAAACCAAAAAAAAATGGCGCTGCATTTTTTCACCCAGTTTTCCAAAATTTGTCATGCCAAAGTTGCAGGCTGTATGTGGCATACTCCGTCAGCAAAGTGGCAAATATTTATGTTTTAACAAAGTAATAAAACTGTCTAACTCTGAAAGAAAATCTCAAAAACTCTACTCAACTGATCATTCAAGAGTTGAATTGTTGCACAATTTTCGTGATTTGCCACTTCCTTGTCCTCTTGCAACAAACTAATCTTTTTCAGCTAGTAATGTCTCAATGGTTCATGGTTTTGGTGATCGGTGAGGCTTTTTATCTTGAAAAACTGATTGGCTGTTTATTTTTGTCGCATCTCTCCTCCTTGTCGTTAAGGGCGCCTATGAAATAAACACTGTAGTTGTTCAATCTGCCAAAGGTTAGTTTGGAGGGGTGACCCGAAACAAGCGTTCCTTGGCTGGCGAAGATGCGGTGGTACACCCAACCGACTACCCCGGGTTTCCTGCGGGTCTTCTCAATTTTCCACCTTTTTCTTTCAGACGTCATTACAAAACCAGGATCAGTCACTATTACGTCAGCTACTGCATATTCATGAGATGATAGGACAGCTGAACGGAGGAAGATATAAAAGCCGGCGTTTTACCGTGTCGTCTGCGTTAGGTGGCGCCAGAACAGAAGTCGATCTTCAAGAAATTGTTGACAGGTTGTCACCAAGGAGACTGCGAAGTCTCAGTTTCTCTTCTATGGATGATTTTACTGAATTTGATTTTGATGGTAATTATTTATTTATTTACTTATAAAAGTACGAAAATATTTTATATACACGTTTAGACACTAAAGTCGATTTTCAATCTGCCACCGGAGGGCGCTGGCATCTGACCCTGCCGACGAAGTAACACTCTAGAAGCGAATACGAGTTAGAATGAAATTGTTTGTGACACTCTGATATTGATTTCAAAAAGGCAATGACTTTCAGCATTTGGGGGCTAGTGTAAGTGCGCATCTACACATAGGGTCCCATTAGGTCACCGTGACATTTTACGTTTTACCATATTTTTCATTGAATGAATACTGACCCACTGCTGTGCACATCGCCGAACGCGTTTTATACATACGCGTTGTATGCGTCAAATGGGATCCGTGCCAAACACGACACGGTACTTTGACCATGCCACGACCTCATTTGATATATTGTAACCCTTGAATGTGGTCACCAGTAGGGTGTTGTTGTTGGGCGTTTTTTTACGCTTTTTTTTTTTTTTTTTTTTTTTTTTTTTTTTTTTTTTTTTACAGATGATGCAATTGAAAAGCTTAGTATGTCTTATCCAGCTTGCTTTTGATCACGTGTACTTGGTAGGTACTGCAAGTTACCATTATGCTAAGCGTCCCTACTAATCACCATGAACACTGTTCTAGATGGCATTATCGATTTATGACACAAAGCGAACCTGAGCAGAGTAAAGTACATTATTTCCGCTTGAAGGATTTTATTTTCGCTGTTACCGTTGAAAGAATGAATCAGTGAAAATGAAATCCGTTGAAAATACTTTTTTTACCATATTTTACACATTCAACTCATCAAAAATCAGTGAAGACGTGTAATGACGTGAAGCTAGGCGATTAAGTGCCAGACGCGAGCGCCGGTTCGAGTCACGCATGCAGTACGAGTTTACTTTGATTTGACGTAGTATTTACCATATCGTTTATTCTGTGATATTTGCGCCAGGCGCCCCCCCCCCTCAGCCGCAAAAAACAAAATTGACAAATAGAAATGACAAACCCAGCCTACCGGAGGTGCGCGGAACAGGCCTTCGATCACGTCAATGGTAGCGCGCCCCTTATCCGCCAGTGATTTGCTGACTTTACTTTCTATGTCAGCAGCAACTATGAGTTTACAATTATTTCTCAGTACTCAGAAAACAGACGATATGTCTTTTCAGCTAAAAATAGTTCCAGCTAAAACAGTGGAGAAGTGGAGAAGACTTGGGTAGAGATAATAGACAATTAATGTGGCACAAGAGGCAATTAAACTTCGGGAGGTCGGGATGATTTCTGCAATATTAGTGTCAGCGTTGAAGCAATGTTTGTAACTACTCGGGAGGGACATGATTTCTGCAACATTAGTGTCAGATTATTGCCACCATCGTTTCTTATGAAATGTGGGGTTGTTAATTACGAGTGGAATGCCGAATCTGAGGCTAGGTTCATTGTCAGGTGGTACTTTTTTTTGGTATAACCCATAACACCTTGATGGAATTATTTGACGCCATATTATATAACCTGTGTTGATTGGGTTTGAAAATGAAACTAGAAAATGGGCTCCCAATCCCACAATGAAACCCCATCACCGGCGTACAATAAGCCCCATCCCTAAGTGTTTTTTAATTCACACTATAAGTCTATGTGCCTGGATGCCCTTTTTGGTATGAAGAGAAAATTCCCCGGAAAAATCTGTTTCGCGTCTCATGATTGGTCAAAATATGAACACATATTTAAATTAGGCGTGTCTTCAGGCTTGCCCTGGCAACCAGACACACTGTTACAGATAACGAAGTTAAGTAGTACTATACGATTACAGCGAAAGCAAGAATTTTCTCTGGTATTCGATTTCACTATTTTTTTTATTTTTTGGACATATGTCCCCGGGTTTTAAATTTCTCGCATTTGACTGGAAACAATGCGTTTAATGATAATTTAACATGTTCACGTCAATGCAGTTTATTTCACGAAAATAACGAAATCCAACTTTGAACTGCGTGGATATTCAATGTATTTACAGTATGTATGTTTTCCTTCTATAGCTTTGAGTGGCAATCACTGGAGTACTTGGATCGTCATCATGTTTAATCGCCTGATAACAGCGGAGCAGTTCTTTACACGGGCATAACTATAGTGCAATGGAATTGCATTGACACACAGAATGAGAAACCCGAGAGACGCCCTCTATCGAATTCATGTGTCCATCTGTTTAATAACATATACTTTGTGTAAATGCCACTTTAACATGTAGTTTTATTTTTTGATCTCAATAATAAAGGTTTCAACGTCTCAGTTTATGTTTAATTCTATGTTACATAAATTAACTTAACTACTCCCCCGTCGTCCACGCAAAACATGTAGGAAACCCCCATAAATAGTGTATGCGACCGGAAGTAGATTGATTCCACGTACTTTCAATGCGCCACAATTACACATTCTCTTGACATTCATATCTGAGAAGTGTCATCTCAGTTGTAAAAGCAGCCGACATCAGATATAGCAATCACCTTGCTCATAATTTTGCTGAGAGGATGTACTTATCATGTTTGGTCACCGTCTTACGTAACCGCCTTGTGTATAGATTTTCTAGTCCCACCAAGTCAAACGAGTATTAAGAAAAAAATCTGGTATAAAACGAGTCATCACAGGAAACAAGCATACATGATCACGTGACACCATTGCAACCACCGGTGACGTAATCTGCATCATGACGTACCGAAAACGTCTTACGGTTGACTGATTTGTATACTACAGTTTCTGTTCTGTTCGTTCAGGGAGCTGTACAGCTGTACAGCTCCCTGGTTCGTTAGAGACTGGAACCGAGTCGGTATATCACGGTGTATTTGAACATACGGGTCTGAGATATGATTTACGTCGAAGCGTTTTGTTTTAATCCAATAAACTGACTTTGAAAATACACACTATTAACTAAAATGTAGTTATGTACAAAAAAGAAAAAAGATAAACGGACGATTTGCTTTCATTTCTTTAGCATATCTATCCCACGCATTCAAACAGGTTACAACATTAAAATTTCGTACACGCCCCAAAATATGTGAACTTGTTGTTTAGGGATCATGTGAAAATTACGTGGTACGACTTTCGTCGTAATTAATGACTTAAAGCGAGGGAGTTGTCACCTGCGCATGCATCAGATAGCCATGGCGTGTCATTGTTTACAAACAAGCGTCTACCCATGAGACTTTGCGTTTTTAGCGTGTGTTGTTATCGTCGTCCCGCGCGTGCCTGTGCGCAGCTGACGACTCTCCCGCTTTAAAGTACCATTATGTGAACAACTCTGAAATAATAAAACAATGTCAACACACACCACGTTCCAGTATTCTTTATGTGCATATGAGACACGGCCAGGTTTCTACGTCCATATGATAACATGTCGGCGATCCTCACTCAGTGCGTGTAAAAACAAACTCTGTAATTTACACGCGTTGTATACAACGAGTATGACCCATTTCGAACACAACGCGATGAGACGCCATTTAAATTTATCAAATCACATTTTACGATACAGAATGGTATAGAGCTTAACATTTAAAAAATGTAACCGTATTTCAAAGCACATGTCTGCTACAGTAATACACGGTATTTACATAATATATTATTGAATGTAGAGTAAACAAGTGTAACTACTCTTGTACTATGTATATTGAACCTCTTAGGTAATCACTTTCACCTGAGATCGTTACATTGAGTCAAGTTGACAAACAAAGTCACCTAAAATTCCAATCCATCAACTTTCGGAGGTAGAAAACTGTATTATTCTTAAATATGATATCACATTGCTACACAAATGCACTGATAGTCATAGTAAATATAGTATTATTAGTTTGCTGTCCACTTGTACCATAGCCCAATTCTGGAAACAAACAAACTTTAAACTTAGGCTACGAAGAATCAGTCGAAATAAGGCGAAAAAATCGGGTAATAATCCAGAAATTAGTGTCAAAGTTCTCTTTCTTGTGGCTCGCTGTGGACTTGCTGCCTCGACTTGGCTTTTAAGATTCATCAATGTAATCTGTGGGATTGTTGTCGCCGTTGGTGGCGCTCGTAGGTTTAATACTCTCCACTATGAGTGACAGACTATCGAGACTGGAGACACCAACATTGTCATACCCTGAAATCACAAACAAACAAACATATTATGATTAAATGAACGCATTCAGGTCCAGAACATAACATGCAATCTCAATTATCACAAACACAGATTTAAATCACAGATGGCAAACACACCCCTTAATTACAGACGAAAAAACAAACAAACTCACGATAACACAATACTAACTCTAGATATACAATAACCTAAGTCTCTCTAAAAATAGAATAAATTATCTTTTTTTTATTAAAGACGACTTTTGCTAGACGCTTGTACAATCGTATATTCCGAACATTTTTATCACGTTTCCAACATTTGATAAATTTATATCATTAAAGGTCGGTGGTCGTTGCGCCACGCATGCGCGAGATGTAGGTCCCATATGTACAAAGACGGCGACTTGAAATGTTGCTCAGAGCAACGAGTACAAACATGAAACGTTTAGCTAGGCAATTTATGTGGCGATTAAAACACAATGACGAATATTATGAGTCAAAGTCAGTATTTTGTTCACATCACACCAAGTTCAAAACTCGTATTCGCTCTTGCCATTTACGGGACGCATTGAAGTCTGGGAAAAGTAATGAATATAAACACAATGCACATGCGCGACGACCCACGCCCTTTAATGAAAACAACAAGTGTGCCCATATTAAGAAACAACTTTTCTGAATTCATTGTTCATACCATGCTGTTGCAGCCTAGAAAATGTAATTATATTATTCACATACATAGCGATATATAAACAGTACTGCACTTGTATCCAGTTATCTCCATCATAATTGTAGTATTTTTATTGGGCAAAGAGTTGTGATACACAAACAAAAACACACAAACAAACAGTTTTTCTCCTGAATATGTAGCTCCGCTGTATACATTGTAGTTAGGCAGCTGTTTAATAAGATTTGTTTACCAACAAATGACAAAAATATTGTCGTCACGAAAAAGTCGAAAGTACCCCGTTTTACCAAAAATTTAAGTATCAATATCGAAGCAATGGGCTCGCCGATTTAAGAAGTCTAAAATAGCTTGTGTTACAAAAATTGGCAAACAATTTGAACAGGAAGATACTATCAACTTTCTTCTTTCAACACCTTGGGTTCACGGATGACGTCATAGCATGCGCGCATCATAATAACATCCGGGTGTGGACTGAGTACAACTAATTCAATAATATAGTACAAAATCGTGTTTTCGGTTCATGTAATAATTTATCAGCAGTTGCTCAAAGGTGGCGAACATAAATAGTTTTTGTTGTTTTCTTTTCATTACACAGCAGCCAGGCACGAAATTGACCAGATAATAGAGACAGGCGTTGTTCATTTTATTGTGATTATACACTCAACGGGGGCCATCATTCAAGCGTGTCGGCAATTTGTAACTGATGTTTTCAGATTTTTACAAATCGCGTATTCATTTTGTTATTTCAAGTAACGCATATAAATAAACACATATATATTTCATCTAAAATCATCACGGAAACATGGTTTCTGAAAAGAGGGACAAGAAATTGTAATAATAAAAACACAAATATTTGTATTGCGTTTGCCGGCACTCGTCTTATTTATTTCTAACTCGGAAAGTTTGTTGAATTAGTGGGAAATCTGCCCATTACTTTTATATTAATGCTTTAATTAGTAATTAATATATATTAATATAACAGCAAACCGACGTTGATCCAAAAGTTGTTTTTGAATTATGAAACTCTGAGTCAGTCATATGTAGTTTTACCGATTTTCTAATCAAAAACACAAAGTCATTGTTTATTTGGCAATAAGTTTAAGTACCCCTTCTTTAGATGGCTCTGGAAAGTTGTCAGATTTATTTGATGGAACCTTCCGCTAAACGAAATATTCCACATTTTCCCCTAATTGGCTGCTTCCACTCTTGAATGAAATAGTAAATGAATATGGATAAAAGCGAGAGATAACATTTATTTTTAAGCAAATTGACATGCACTTACAACAAAAATCAGGAGAGACAACAGTGACACTCAATGTCCACGACTGTCGCCTGGCACAAAAACATTTAAAAAAAAAAGTTGACATGGTTCGGATAGTTGGCTAAATAAGATAAATATCACCAAAAATAATCTATACTAACATTTCCAAGGGTTTGTTATTTATTTATTTATTTATGATAATAAACACCACTGTGTTTACGTAACCATCACGTGATTATACAGATATGTACTATTTGTGATTTCTATGATATTTGATATATAGCGTATTTAGTCAGAAGTAACACGGTTTGGCATAAAATCATGCAATACACTTTCCACCGGAGGGTTTATTCATTGAGGCGTCCAATGTAATGCCAACTGTGGTATATCAGACACAGTGACAAGATAATGTAAATTAGCCCGTACATGCGATATCCCAGCAAATCATATCAAATTCGCTCCGAATCAAATCCAAAGATTGTAAAACTTAATAGTGGATTGTGTCAAATGGTTTGAAAGGGCGTGGATGTGCAACACCCGAATAAATATTCTTGTGGGGAATGTCTATATGGCATTAAATATTTTCAAAATTCCCTAGGAATAAAAGTATACTATGTCACAGATAGCCACTATAGCTGGTACATCATTGTTCGCGCCATCTTGATATGTTCGACCAAATGTTTCATATCGGACACGAAACAATACAGGCAAAATATGAGTACGTAGTAACTTGCCATGATTATATGATATCATTGTTCAATCTGGTAACATTGAAAAATCCTTTCCAAAATTCCAGTTTCCCTGACAACCAAATCTCCCCTAAAATCTAATCGAATAGTTCATGTTTTAATTAAAGACAATCTTCCTAAATATTAAATGAGAACTAGTTCTTAACACTTATTAGATTATTTTCCTGACACAATATTTGAACTAACTTTGATGTATGACCTGATAAAGTTTTCAATTTTTTTGTTTGTTTTTATTTTAACTGTCATATTAATTTTTGTTATTTTCGTTTCTATTATATTTTATATTTCCATTTTTTGTCACGGTGTGTTTCAATATTATATTGTTTTTCTTGTTAATTCCCTGTTAAGGTTTTACGTGTTTCAGAAATGTCGTATTTATTCTCATTCAAGTTTGTTTTTCATGCTGTAAACCTTCCAATTTTACAGCTTTCAGAGCATTCTGTTAGACACTCTGTCTCAAACTTAGATATGCGATTGACAGAACTGGTCGTCAGTTTTCAGCTCTAAATAGCATCGGCTCCGCCTGTATGTTTATTTTGCCCCGGGCTTCTATCTATGCGTTACTTAATTACTCTGCAGACAGCCAGAGAGACAACAATCCAAAGACGGAGGAGGTAAATAAGTAAAAAGTGTTGATTTAATTATAACCAGAAATTACATGACGTATGACTTTCAATGGTGAATAAATTAATTACGTGATGTATGAGTAAATTGTAAATTATATTACGTGACGTATGAATAAATTATAAAAATCCGTGACGTATGAATAAATTATAAATTACGTGACGTTTGAATAAATTATAAATTACGTGACGTATGAATAATTATAAATTCATAATTGTAACTATACCATAAAAGGAGACTCACCTCTGATACCGTGATCACGTGGATTTTCACCATAATGACGTAATTTATCAGAATTAAAAGATAGCGGACTTGTTGACATGGAGACAGGACTGCTGCTAAGAGAACCGCCCATTCCCTGTAAGATAAACCAAGAAAATTCATGTGAGACAATTATTCAAAAATGGGACGGTGAAGCGAAAAAGTTAAAAAAGATCTACTCGCACACATAAACATTTTTTAAGGCTTCACACAGCATAACTATATTAGGCCATTATCAAAATACAAATATACAAGCGAGAATTTAATAGGTCGAAAAATTAGCACAACAAGCAGATTTCTGATTGGTTCGACTATTGGGTGTTAGCTTTGGACGGCCAATCAGGCACAGTTTTGTATGTAGTTTCGTATTGACTCGAATACTGTACACGGACCAAGATATCCGATATAGCTTTATCCTCTTGTTCAAACATTTTGCTAGGTAAAAAATAATATGAAAATTGTTATGATGACGTCATCAAGTTGAAAACATTTTTTTTTGTAGTAGAAAATGATATCACATTATAAAACACGGTGAGGAAGGAATTATGCATTCAATACAAATGTGACCAATGTGACTGATACCATAGACAGACACGTGTTACTAGAAGCTAACAATTTCAGTTGGTCGATTCATTTATACAAGACATGATGGAAGAACCTGTTAAAAAATAAGCTTCTTTCTGATTGACTGAATTTGTTGTCAATCAGACCAATCTTGTAAGTTATTTTGACTTGACTCAAAAATGTATGATGGACTCGATATACCAGTATAACTTAAAAACGTGGAAATTTTAAAAGCATGACATTTTTGTTGAGTTATAGATTCCATAAAAATACATAAACCAAAAAAGGTTTCATGTTCTCTGCACGTAATAAGCTCGGTTATTAAGCATCCTTTTTTGGGTATGCCCGGTGGCCGAGGGGAAGACGTGTAGTGGCGTGAAGCTAGGCGATTAGGTGCCGTACGCGAGCGGCCGGTTCGAGTCACGCACGCAGTACGTGTTTACTATAATTAGACATAGTCTTTACCTTGCCGTTTATTCGGTGTTATTTGCTTACTTTACTTCCTATGTCGACAGCAACTATGAGTTTAGCCTCTCGGATGAGATAGTTCCGCTGTTAGCAATGCACATTTCAATTAAAGAACAGAAGATATCATTAGAAAATGAACAATATGTGTAGTATCAATGCAATGGGACTTGCTGTTTTCAACAAGAATTCAAAAATATAATTTTTCACCATAAATGATTGTGGTTTTTAACAAGAAGAAAATATCACTTTTTACCAAAAATGACAAAAATATTCACCAAAATTAGATAATTAAAGATATCATTACAAAATGAACAAATCTGAGAGAGGTCCACATGTAGTACCTATATATGTAATAATATCAAAGCAATTGGACTTGTCGTTTTTAACAAGAAGTCGAAAATATCACTTTTTACCAAAAATTACAAAAATATTCACCAAAATTAGAGAATTGACGATATAATTACAAAATGAACAAATTTGAGAGTGGTCCACATGTAGTACCTATATATTTAATATCAAAGCAATTGGACTTGTGGTTTTTAACAAGAAGTCGAAAATATCACTTTTTACCAAAAATGACAAAAATATTCACCAAAATTAGAAAACTAAAGATATCATTACAAAATGAACAAATCTGAGAGAGATCCACATGTAGTACCTATATATGTAATATCAAAGTAATTGGACTTGCGGTTTTTAACAAGAAGTCGAAAATATCACTTTTTACCAAAAATGACAAAAATATTCACCAAAATTAGAGAACTAAAGATATCATTACAAAATGAACAAATCTGAGAGAGATCCACATGTAGTACCTATATATGTAATA